GTGTGTGTGTGTGTGTGTGTGTGTGTGTGAGGATCATTATATATAGTTTTTTTTTTTACTATCTACCTCATTTCTGTTATCTGTTTATATGTTCAATAAACAACGAAACCAACCAAAAAAAAAAGATTTAATGGTACATCCTTCATGAGACTGGTCAAAAAAATTGGGATAAATCGCTGCCTTTTCTGTTTTTTTGCTTATCGAGAAGTGCCACAGGCTTCAACTGGGGTTTCTCCTTTTGAGTTGATTTATGGTAGACCGGTCCGACGACCCCTGGGCATGCTGAAGGAGATTCAGGTGGCTGGAGAGGCAACCACACACTTTGTCATCTCCTTAAATGATGGGCAAGTTGGAAAACTTCAGAGAGATGGCAAAGAAACACGTGGAGGAGAGCCAGAGAAAACAAAAGGTATGGTATGAGAAACATACCAGAGAAAGCGATTTGCACCCTGGACAGAAGGTGTTAATATTGTTGCTTACCGGACCAAGTAAACTACTGCCAAAGTGACAGGGTCCATACACTGTGGCTAGGAAAATAGGAGCTGTCACGTATGAGATTGTCTGCTTTGAATAACAGACGAAGCAGTTTTTTCATGTGGATTTGTTAAAGCAGGGGTGCCAAACCTTTTTTGACCGAAGAGCTAATTTTCGATCAACCAACCTCCCGCGATCGACCCGTTATTGCACACGCGCGCATACGCATGCAATTACACACCCATGCCATGATGAGCAACAGCCATAACGGCCCCTACGATGAACGAAAACAGAAAAATAAAGTAGACACAAGAGTTTGTGGGGTTGTGAAAAGGAAACCGCTGCCGACCTTCGTCACGATCACTTTTGCAACCTGTTAACAATTGTAGCTCATGTGTACCGTTTTAATATGCGTCTCCTGGCGCCATTCTTTGTCAGTGCTATCGCAGTGAGTTGTAGATGAAATAAACTTTCAATGAGGGGGAAAAAAAAAGATATACTGTTTCGCAACAACTCTGATCGCAAGCTGCATTTCCAGACTGCTGACCCCTTACACTTTCCGGTGATGCAGGTCACGCACCACCATTGGTTAAAGGTGACCTGCTTATTTTATTTTTTAAATATATTTGTGAAAGTGAGACTGATGGGATGCCAAGGTTAATAACACGCACACAGACACACAAATGTTTTGGGTTGTTTTTTCTTAATTTTTTTCCTCTACATCCCTCAAGCGACTCGGGACCAGTCCGCGAACTACTGGCCGATCGCGATCGACCTTTTGGGCACCTCAGTGCGAAAGCAGTAAGAGAAACAGCCAGAGACAAAGAACTCGCAAAGTCTGTTGATCAGAGAGATCCCATTGACTGAGACAGCGGAGTTGGATAAATAAAGCTGAGATGACACCCAAGAGGGAAGGCGGTAAGCCTGAAGAGACCTCATTGCACGTGAGCACAGAGCAACAAATTCAAGTGGCCGATCAAAAGGATTAATTTTCTTCATTTTTCATAAATAAACCTGGGAGGACTTATTTTATCACTCACAAGATTATGCCCAAAGAAAATAAACCTGTACGTTAGAGGCCATACCAGATTCCAGAGTGGCGGGGGGATCCACTGAAGCAAGAAGCAATGCGTGACTTGGGGATCATCGAGCCATCTAAAAGTAAGTGGTCTAACTCAATTGTGTTTGGACCCAAAAGGACTCAGCTACTATTTTGCACAGACATGAGAGATCACAACAATACCTCATGTTTTGACTCCCACCTTGTGCCTCGTATTGATAAACTTGAGGAAAGATTGGGTCAAGCAAAATACCTTTGATCGATGTAAAGGATCCCTCTCGACCCCACATGTACAAAAATAGACTGTCTTTCAGATTTCAGTCTTTGGGCTCTTCCATTACACAGTTTTGCCGTTTGGTCTGCATGGACCACCTTCATTCAACCTGTCAATTAATGGATATTATTCTCCAGCAATGTTCCAGTTTTGCAGCTGCCTATCTCAATGATGTTGTGATCTACAGCGAAAGTTGGGAGGACCATTTCCTGCAGCTCCAAACTCTTCTTGGGATAATCCAGGCTGCTGGTCTCACCATTAATGAGAAAAAAATACTCTTGGGCACAAGAAGAGGCGAGTTACCTGGGGTATTTGATCGGGAAGGGGAAGATTAAGCCGCAGGTGGAGAAAGTGAAGGCTGTGGACAAGATACCAACTCCCCAGACCAAGAAGCAATTGAGATAATTTCTTGGACTGATAGGCTGGTACAAAAGGTTTATCCCACACTTTGCTACATTAGCTGCTCCTTTAATTGATTTCACAAAGAAAACAATTAAATCTCGACTACCATGGACAGCAGAGTGTGAACAAGCTTTTAAGGCCTTCAAGTTTTTCATCTGTCAAGCTCCGGTGTTACAGAGCCCAGATTCTTCCAAGAAGTTTCTTGTCCAAGTGGATGCTTTCGATGTTGGCCTTGGTGCGGTGCTGGTGCAAGGCAAAGCTGGAGAGGAGAGACCCATCCTGTTTCTGAGTTTAAAAAAACGTTTCGATATGGAAAAGAAGTATTCGACCATTGAGAAAGAAGGTCTGGCCATCGAGTGGGCTATTGACTCCCTTGGTTACTACCTCCTTGGAAGGGAATTCCACTTCCAAAACGACCATCAAACATCAAAATGCCAGAATACCGCAGTGGTGTCTTGCCCTCCATTGAGCATTGTCAGGGTAAGAAAAATGTGATTGCTGACTACTTGTCAAGCTTGTCGGAGCTAAGGGGAGAGGAGGTGAGCGGTGTCATAAAGCCTAATGACCCACCCTAATAACTGCCGATTGTAGTCAATTTTGGATGGGGAGAAAAGTGCACATTCCCCTCCATCCAAGAACTGTTGCTGTGGTGATGATTGTTTCAGGATTGTTTCAGGGAAGGAGATAGCAAGGAGACTGCGACCACCTGCGGGTGGCATATTGCAGCGATCTGACCTGATTGGCCTGCAGTTTAGGTGTACTCCTTCCAAAAAGGGGCTGGCAAGGTCATTGAGGGCTGGTAAATTGGGAGAGCCTTGACGGCTGTGTGCTTTAATCTGGTTACCTTTGTCCAAATAAAATAAACAAAACTAGAAATTGCCCTCCCTGGATCTGGCTGAACTGACTTTAGTTCCCTTCTCACATGACCTGCTATTTCGCATCATAACATCATATTTAAAATAATGTCCTGTTTTTGAATAGATGGATGTAAAGAATGTTTTTTCAAAAATGGTTTAATCACTTCACAAAATAATTGAGAGATTAATTGATTATAAAATAATTGTTAGTTGCATCCCTAATATAAAATTACGGCAGTTCCATCACTTAACATGAAGCATATTGAGTTGCCTTGGTTAAGAAATGTGCTATTTAGTGTGAATAAAGCTGCCTTGCCTTGCCTTAACAGCTTTTGCCCACAGTCTGTGCGCTCTGCTAGTGAGTGAACAAGCATTTTTGCTGTAACATTTGGGATCTTAATGAAAAAAGGTTGATCACACACGACACGCCGACCAACAACCCACACAACCTGTGAGTGTACACGCATTGTGGTGCTCGATAAGAGTTAACATTGAATACTTACTAGTTGATCAATGTGCTGTTGCAGTTCGGTGACTCTCTGTACAAGGAAGTCATAGCTCCCCTTCAGCTTGTGCATCTTCTGGTCTGCACGGGTTTTTACCGACACTAGAATTCCTGCAATATATTCAATCATCACATAAAGGATTGAGATTCTTATGACCGTGTTATACCGTAATTGTTGTAATGGAAATCAAGAGGTCAATGACAATCCTACAACATTCTGTTGCAATGCCAAGAGCAAGGTTAAGTAAAATATACATTTTTAAAATTCGTGTGAAAGATAATATAGCAATTGTACGAAACAAAACAGATAAAGATAATGCCCCAATGATACTATGGCAGAACGAAGGAGCACACATTGCTGACTGTAAATCACGTCCTTATTCTGCCAAGTGAATTGTCAACAATCACAATTTTGCGCCAAAAAATTCAAACACTTTCCCAGCGACATACCTGCTGGACGATAGGCATGGTCCTAGACTTTGCCACACAGTACCCCCTGCCCCACCCTGCCGAACACCCTGATAATCTTAGGGGGGGCTTTGCTTGTCTGCGATGATGACTAAGTAGACCCATAAAGCCATCCATTAAACTGCCCCTGCCTTCCGCATTGCATTACTCACACCCATTTAAAGCCTTTACTCGTAGATTCTACTGACTTCACCAATCTCAGACCAAACTTTCCACCATGGGAGGGAGAGCCTTCCAGATAGTTGCCCCACAGCTCTGGAATGCTCCAGCACCTGGGAACTCTACAAAATGTGGACGTCTTTCAAAAAAGGCCTCATAGCATTTCTTTTTTTAAAAGGCCGATTAGACTTCTTTTAATGACTATTGTAAATGTGAATTTTAAACTGTTACACTTTGACTAAATTGTTTATTTAACCCAGTGCTTCTCAATTAAATTCTGTCATGGCCCCCCCCCCAGGAAGAAGAAAACATCTCACGCCCCCCCCCCGCGCAACTAGAAATAGTATCATTTGTCTATAAAATTGTTATAAGTACACCTTTGCATAACACTGCATCCTTATTAACGTATAAGAGAATAAAAAGAAAGAAATATGGACCAACTTACAACAAAGACTAGCTTTAGTAACTGTAACAGAAAAGATTTAAAGTGCATCTGAAATTCAAAAATAAAATTAAATCCTTAAACTATAAACATTTTTTGACCGACAATGTCAAACCATACGATACTGAAAAATGAAATTACATAAAATCAATAAATAATAATGCATTCAAACTGATCACCAACATTAACTCAGGAGCGCAATATTTAAAAAAAACTTTAACCTGCAAAACAAAAATATCTAAAATAATTTGTGCTGATTTTTTTTTTTTTAATCAAAGATAATGTCTGGATTAATGGCTACAAGTAGCACTTACAAAGCGGGATGATTGTTGACAATATTCGGCACATTTTCGCTGAAAAAACTCAAGCGGCTTTTCAGCGTGATTGGGGTGTGATGTCTTTAAGTGACGCCTTAATTTACTGTATTTGGCTTCATGCTGTCTGCTGCCAACATTTTTAGAACACCGGTCTTTTCTCGTCTCCCACCGTATTCACAGTGAAGCCAAGCGCTACATACACTTCGTCATATGTCCTCATCTTAGCTTTCGGGAGACTTTCGTTTGTCTCAATCTCCGTCTCTCCCCGCCCGTCGATTTCGTGTCTACACGTCATACTCATAGTCTCTGCCGTGTGCAAAGCGCGCATGCTCAGTGCAAACAAAACACCCAGCGAATGCTCCCTGCGCACTCTGCCAATGAGAGAGCCACTGTCCCCTAATGTAGTCGAGGTGCAATTGCACTTTATTCTAGAACAATAAAAAAAAATCTAAATAAAAAAAGCATGTTCCTCGAGGTCAAACGTGACTCCCTTGACGGAGCCTCGCACCCCCCTGGGGGCGCCCCACTATTTGAGAATCACTGGTTTAACCCTTTATTTCGTTTGTCCTGATTGTTACACTTCTATTTTAAACTGCTATATTTTACTGCGATTTGTTTTTTATTGACCTTCTACTGTAGCACTTTGAGATTTTCCTGAAATGTAAAGTGCATTCCAACTTACATGTACTATTATTATTGTTATTATTATGTCCCAGGATCACTCTGCGCTTGTGCCTGGGACTGGGTATTCTGGAATCGCATTTGATGTAGGTTTAATTATCTAATCATAAGTAGTTCTTCAAAAGCAGGTGTGATACAATGGATGCCAATAACAATCTTCCGGATTGCGATTGCAAAAAGTGGGGTGAAAGGATTGTATTAAGCACCTTTCAAAAACAGGTTGAGTGCATTGTGTTGCTGTACATATCATGCTCCGCAATTTGCACAGATTCTGAATTCACTATTTATAAAATGAGGGTTTTACTCACCATTGATGATTCTAGCCACTCTCCAGAGACGCAGCAGGATAAGGAGACCCATTCCATCAAATACATCATCGTGGAAGATGAAGACTACGTCCAGCACAAAAGACACCATCACCACCAAAGCATCAAACACCTCGAATTTATGTTGGAAGAACTCAAGGCGATATGCGAAGAGTTTCCCGGCTATCTCCACCATGAAGAATGTGAGAAGTGCCAGGCTCAGGTAGTGAAACACCTGCCAAGTAAGTTATTGATTACAATAAATTATTGTCTGGATAGTAGCAGAGTTTAGGTACAGTGAGAGAAATAAATATTTGATCTGCAAATGTTGTTCAGTTTGCCTACTTACAAATAAATGAAAGGTTTCTCTTTTTTTGATATGTTTCCATTTTAAAGAGTCAGATGATTAAATATAAACTATAGAGGGGAAAAAAAACAATAGAAAATTCATTTGTGTGTGATTGAGGAAAACAAGTATTAAGGTTCCAACCATATAGGGATCTAGGCTTATTCCACTTTCCAGATCTTCTCTATATCCAGTTGCATGACAACTCCAAGGTTCAGATTTCTCCTCAGTTTTACTGCCTTCCTACTAAGGTCTGGTTTTTGGCTCGGCCACTGTTTTGCATATGAATTGTCTTGACCCAGTCTATTGCCATAGCCATGTTTTGTCCATGAACAAACTAAAAGACAAATCCAAAACCAGTGGACAGAACTTCAGTGTTCTGCCATATGAAAGAAAAGGTCTTCAACCAGAATCTCAAGGTAGATGTGTCGATACAGGTCACCCTAAAATAATAATAATAATTGAAAAAGTTCAATATTATTTGTCATTCATTTCAGAAAGTGAAATTGTATTTCTTATTTTTTTATATTTTATGTAGAATCATGTTTCAAGATTTAATTTGGTGCCATTTTGATCTTTTTGGCTACAAATAAAACCTAAAATTCAGTGTCTTGGAAATGATGTCAAATAAGACCAATGAAAACAGGCTGTGTTAAGCACAAATGTCAGGCTTCTGAAAAATATGTTTAATTCAATGCACGCAATGCTGTACCTGGTTCGGCCTTCTTTTGCATCAATAATTGCATCGATCAAAAAATTTGTCAAGGAACTGGAAAATTCATACTGGACTTAAAGGAACGTGGATTCTGTGCATCATTGTCGAGGAATGTTCATTTCCAAATGAAATGCATACCGTAATTTCATTAAATCTGAGAAAAGGACTATGGACCATTGAGCTAAATCCGGTTCTTTTTCCCCTTAGCTCAGGTGAAACGCTTCTGATGTTGTCTCTGGTTCAGGAGTGGCTTAACATGAGAAATGAGGATTTCGGAATTTGTAACCCATGTCTAGTATTCGTCTGTGTGTGTGCATGTGTGTGTGGTGGTGGCTCTCGATGCACTGACTCTAGCCTCAGTCCACTCCTTGTGAAGCTCACCCAAATTCTTGAATGGATTTTACTTGACAATCCTGTCAAGGTTGTAGTTATCCCTGTTGCTGGTGCACTTTTTTCTCCCATACTTTTTCCTTCCACTCCATTTTCTGTTAATGTGATCGAATACAGCACTCTGTGAACCAGCTTCTTTAGCAATGACCTTTTGGGGCTTAACCTCCTTTTGAAGGGTGTCGATGACTGCTCCGGACAAGTCAGCAGTCTTCCCCATGATTGTGTAGCCTACTGTCTCAGAGTGAGACCATTTAAAGGCTCAGGAAACCTTTGCAGGTGTTTTGAGTTAATGAGCTAATATGAGCATGACACCATGAGTTTCCAAAATCGAACTTTTTCCAGAATATTGAAATTTTCAGAGACTGAATTTGGGTTTTATTTTCTGGAAACTATAATCAGCAAAATTACAAGAAATTATTATTGATTATAATATAATTATTTCTATAATGCAATGATTCTCCATACGAGTTTCCCTTTCTGAAATGACTGACAAAAAAATATTCCCCTTTTTCACAATACTGTTTTTTTAGGTACCTCGATATGGTATAAATACATACATACAGACACTCCCCAGCTTACGAACGAGATACGTTCCGAAGGATCGTTCGTTAGGTGAATTCGTTCATAAGTTGCTTTAGTGCTATATTTTGTATGGAACGTATGTTTAAGGCTTATATAAGTATGTTTAAGGTTTATATAAGTATAATAAAATGAAGTTTAACTTACTTTTGGAAGATGTACTCGAAGGCTTAAGGAGATGATGGGCGATTGCAGTTTTCTTCTTTTTCTCATCATAAATGATGCAGTAGCACTATATGGCATCATTCATTTGATTTGCAACCTTTGTGCAACGTTCAATATTTGGGTCTTGCTGCTCGAAGAGTGCGATGGCTTTATCTATGAGAAAACCCCTCGGCCAAGATTTCCGTCTTGAACTTCTTCATGGGGACAGGCATTTCCTCCTCCTCCTCCTCCTCTTACAGCGCCTCACGTCGGTATTAGTGGTGGAAAGAAGTACTACAATACTCGGAAAAAGGCGCGCAATACAAAATCTAACTTACAGCATCTCTGTCCGAGAACATTTTTCGACATACCTGTACCCACAAAAATGTTCATATGTACCGTTGTTCGTAACTCGAATGTTCATAAATCGGGGAGTGTCTGTACATACATATATACATACATACTGTATATACATACATACAATATATATGGCACTGGTGGTCGGAGAAATTGGATTTGGGGCTAGGTTTCTTTTCTACATTGCAAAGCTCAAAATATTGTTGTTACCTCGCAGAGCAGTTTCGCAAATCAATGACTTCATCTGAGCAGCAATTTTCTAATTTTGTGGACCATTTTTATTTATTTTTTTATTTTTCTTTGCGGGTTCATCCCAGGGACCTGAAGCAAGGGCTTTATTCAACAATATAAACATGAACATATAACGAATGAACAATTGGGTTTTTTTTTGTTTTGTTTTGTTTTAATACAGTAATCCCTCGTTTATCGTGGCGGTTATGTTCCAAAAAGAACCAGTGATAAGTGAAATCCGTGAAGTAGGATTTATTAAAAGAAAGCAAAAAAATGTGAGAGAGACGAAATTTCAAAAGTGCTGTATGTTTCGCATACAGCATATTTGACGATAAAGTTGTACTTGGTACTTGATAGTCAGCTTTATTTTTTACAGTTATTATACAAAACTGAACGATGTATACAATGCAGAGGCGATTGCTCTAAGACAGCAAGGGAAGCTCAGCTTCCCCTAAAATGTCAAAAAGTAAGTGATCAAATATATGTGTGTACGTACAATTGTGTGGACATGTCATTGACTAAATATGCGCTACAATGCGCTCAACTTTTGTTCCGAATCAGCTTCTTATTACTGGTTACAACGCGACTCTCTTCTCATTCATTCCCGCAGCTTCACTGTGCTTTAAACTGTGTGGACGCCGAGCGTCTACAGCGCGGACGCTGGGCGTCGAGAGAGTTCAGTGTAGGTTGTCCCAATGCATTGAAACGAGACGAGTCATTGGATAAATGCTGGATTTGTCCCGCCCATCGGACGACGAGTCACTGGATAAATGCTGGTTTTGTCCCGCCCATCGGACGACGAGTCACTGGATAAATGCTGGTTTTGTGCCGCCCACCGGACACTCAGCGTCTCTGGGAGTCTATGGACAGTGCGCGTTTATAGGCTGCCAGGAAGCTCAGCTTTTCTGCATGACGATTAGATGATCTATCTGAGGCTGAATCTCTTTTTGATTGACAGCGAAATAAGCCAATCACCGATCTGATGGTGAAGGAATCCTTTTCATTTTTTTGAAAAGGAACGGAGAGTAGAATTCACGTAAAAATAAACGGACACATTTTATGATGTAGGCCGAAAATGAGCTTCCCCTCCTTGACAGACCAGCATCCGCCATTGATTCAATGAAACCAAAGACCACAACTTTGCAAAGGTAAATTTGGCAAGCTGTACAGAGACGAGGTACGGAGACTGTCCACGTTGGTCAGTCCCTTAGCCAATCAGGATGCAGAATACAATTCACTGTTTAAAAAAAGCATTAAAAAAACTTCACTAAAAAAATCCACAAAACAGCGAAGAGTGAGGGAGTGAGGGATTACTGTGTAATCAACACTTGTTCCTTAGATTCACATTGTGTATACAGTGAAACGCATCTACAACGAAATCATGTTTGCAGCAAGGGATATACAAGTTGAGCCGCCTTCATCATGCATCGTTTCACAAAGTCACCATCGGAATACGGCTTTGATGCTAATGCTATTTCGCTAGCAATTCGGTAGCTGGCTTTTACTGCTGTGTTGGGTCTGTCTCAGTGACCGACTTGAGACTGCTCGTGTCTTCTCCTCTGATCAAAACAATGTTGTCTTCTACTCTGATCAAAACAGGGTTCCCTCTAGTGAATGATCCATGAATTGCAGCTTATGAAAAATATTCTTTCCGCGGCACGTTCACTTACATCAATTTCTTGGATAATGTCTTGTTTTGCTTGATCCTTCTTTCATTTTGATCACTTTTACCCTCTCTTCCAGCATCAGTGCTCTTCTTGTCTTAACTGCTTGACATCAAAAGGTCCGTTTTGTAGACATTTTAGCAATGCAACGTCCATCCTCATTTCGTCGTATGGGGGGCAGTAGAATGGGAATTGTGTTAATGCATGAAGATTTTTTCACATAAGGGGGTATTTTCGCCCATGTCGGTTTTGTTCTAGAGGAGTTTCACTGTAGCACCAAACTATTTTCGTGTTTTGTCAGACCTCCCCTTGTCCAGCTCTTCCGATTCAGAGACAGTCCCAGGCCACCTATGTGACATCATCCCTACAGTGTCTTCTCGGTCGTCTTTGGGGCCCGCTAACCAGTGGGACATGTCCAAAATACCACACCAGGGAGTTATTGGGGAGGCATCCTAACAAGATGCTGGCTCTTTTCGATATGGTGGCGATGCTCCCAGATGACCGAGACATTGAGAGCTAAGCTTTTCGACTCAGCTCTTTCTTCACCATGATAGACCAATGCAGGGTCCGCATAGATGCTGCACTAATCCACCTTCATTCTTCCCTCATTTAAGAACAAGACCTCAAGATGCTTGAACTCCTCCACTTGTGGCAACATCTACAGTCGACAACAGCAGCACCCCATCGCCACTATACACAGTGTTGATGGTGCACTGCTTCCCCTGCTGAGACGCCAGATGGTGGACCGGTATTTCCTCAAAGCCGACAGGAAGTCATTCTCCATGGCTACACCAACCTCCTCCCTGGTCGCCTCAGCAGCCACCAAAGCTGCATTCCGGTTGGCCTGCTGAGGCCAAAAAGGCCAGCTTGATGGCATCCCTCACTGCTGCTGTCCACTAACGACGATAATTTAGATGTTTGACAATGCGTCAATTGGAGACCCGGCTAATCCAATGTTTGCTCTGTTCACTCACCTTCTCACCGATCCCCTCATAAATGAACAGAGAAAAGTCACCCAATAATTGAGTGAAAATCTCTGTACAATTGAAGCACATTACCGTAACATTTGCATGAAGTGTCGATTGCCAATCTGTCATGCAATTCACATGCGCTCTCGCAGGTCCAAGCTGCTTGTGTCATTAATGCACGAGGAGGGAATGAGCAGACTTTGATGGCTCAGTCCAGGGGCATCGTCCCTTGCCCTCTGTACATGCTCATTTTTTACAAAATGTAACCTCTATAATAAAGGGAGCTTTTTGTCCTGCTTTTTAAATCTGCTACAGTGATCTGACAGCTTCAGTTCGCCTAAAAATATTTACCTCCAAGGACTTTGAATTAGGGATCTCCCGATCACACTTTTTTGACACCCGAGTCTGAGTATGAGGTTTTAAGTACAGTGAAACTCCTCTAAAACGAAATCTTGTTTGCAGCAAGAATTTTTTCACAACAGGGGGTTTTTCACTGCAGCAAATTTGATCTCAGATGTACACACAAACACACACACACACACACACAAACGTATGTGTACTCTTTATTTTTATTCCAATAGTGCATAAATATGAGCACACACTTATTTGACACTCCATATAGTCAGTGTAGAAAGAAAAAAGGTAAAGAAATTGCGAAATTTACGAACAGCATTCACTTTCACTTACATCAATTTATTGGATAATGTCTTATTTTGCTTCCTCCGTCTTTCATTTTGATCACTTTTACCCTCTCTTCCAGTGTCAGAGCTCTTCTTGTCTGAGCTGCTTGACATCCAAAGGTTCGTTTTGTAGCCATTTTAGCGATGCATCGTTCTTGCTGCGTCTGAAACGAACAATAACAAATACTTCCTGGACTACTGCGCATGTGTAAACCAGCTTGGTGGTTGCTGTTGCCGTTTCTGAGCGAAGCAGTAGAGGTCGCTGTTGGATTAGACTTCGTTGTAGTGAATCTCATCACAAGGCAAGAGCAGAGAAAAAGATTTCGTATTACGCAACAGGGTTTTTTTTCATTGTATGGGGGGCAGGAAAGTGGGAATGGTGTTAATGCATTAAGATTTTTTCACACTAGGGGGTATTTTCGCCCATGTAGGTTTCGTTGTAGAGGAGTTTCATTGTATCTGCCGAAACAGAGTCCCGATCCGAAACCTCAGCAGTACATTTTAAAAAAATTACTTTAAAATAAGCACTTATACAGTGGAGGAATGCAACATGGTCCACTCAGACTCAATGTCCCTTGCCCCACCCAGGACACCATCGAAGTTCTGATGAAAGTTGAAACTCCTTGATGGCGGACGCTGCCAGATGTTCCCAGAAGACCCTCAAAATATTTGATCGGACTGGCATCTTCCCCAACCATCGGAGACCACACACCACCAGGTGATGATGATTAACAGCTCCGCCTGCCCCTCTCCTCGAGTGACCAGGCATGCAGCCGTAAATTCCGATGATACAACCAAAGTTGATCATCTAACTATGGCCTCGCGTATCCTCATTGAGGAGAATCTAAATATGTCCAGTCAGAACTTATCATTGCACACCATCTTATGCTCCTTTCCTGACAAAGGTGACAGTCCACATCCCAAGAGCCAGCTTCTGTCACCGGGGATCGGACAGCAAAGGTTCCCGCCTTCAGCTGCCACCCGGTTTTTTGGCACCTGACCACCTTGGCCTCTCCCATAGGTGATGAGCTCATGGGAAGGGAGACCCACCATGTCCCTTTGGGCATGGGTGCAAGCCCCGCCACTAGACACTTGGCATCGAGCTCCACCTCCCAGATTAACCTGTTCATAGGAGTCATAATTCTTGCCGGCTCATTGGCGGTCATCAAATATATCACTCAATCAAACACAAATTAATCTCTATTGTTTATATATAAAATGTAAAAAAAAAAAAAAAAAAGCCATAAAAAAAATGACATGACAATTTGTAAATCCACCTTATACTGTATCTCATCTCAGGTAAGCTTTAGCATATCTCAGCTGGTTTTGAGCCAACCAATTGTGGGGCACAATTTGTTCATGAACAAACAAAAGGATCAAAAAAATGTTTTTCCACTACAGTCGAAACTCTTTTCAACGTACTCCGTTTTCAACGTTTTCACCTCTATAACGTTCACATTTCAAAGTCACATTTTCACATGGTTCATTTGCCGATTTTGCTTACAACGAACACCTTTATTACATAAACATTAACGACCACATTTTTCCACAAAATAGTGAAAAGTCCTTCGATACAGCGAACCGTGGGAAGCTACCTGCTGCTGCGACCTTGCTTATGAACAAAATATACAGCGTGGGATTACCCTCCATTGCTTCGCAATGCTACTGATCGAATCGTACATTGATGTACTTCCTGAGCACATGGTCTGAAAACATGTCTGGTAAAGGCTGACGCTGATGAAGTAGGAACGCTCCAGTTGTTTGTTTCATGTCTTGTAAAATCATTTTTTCTTCATACTGTACACACGTATTTGTAATTGACTTGTTTATACTGTATTACATATCCATGTTTTTACATCTATAAATATTAATACAGTATCATACATCTTAGTTGGCGGCCATTTTATTGGAAATGATTACAATGAACAACGAACAGATTCGTTATGTCCCTCAGGGTACGTTGTAATGAGGTTCGACTGTATATTTGGATCAAACAAGAGAAGTTTTACCTCAGGTGCAATATGGCCATGTTCCAGCTGGATAATGGATAAATCGATCAGCACCTCTCCCAGAACAAAAATTGCATCCAGTACCACTAAACACACCACCAGCACCTGTTGAGAAGTGAAAGAAGCAGTATTATTTAAAAATAACATTACTCGTTCATGAAAAAATAATGACATAGTGTGTTTGGACTTTGCATACAATGTACTGTACTTTTTTTCTTTTTTTTAACAAATGTACTGTGCATTTATTTAAAGAAGACAACAACAGTAGAATACAGTACCAGCGTTCTATTTAAGTTCTCATGAGCAAACAAAACAATACAGATTCAGGACCGGGCGATATGAATGAAAAGTATATCACAATATAAGTATTTCATATTGATGACATCAATATCTATTCATTTCTTCTTAACAATTGAAAATAAGGACATAGAGAAAAAAAAGGCAGAATTTCAGTAATTTTATTTTAACAAATAGTACTGTAATAAGAAGTCAATGCAACTTTAAAAAAGACTAATGGTCAACTGGTCAATAGAAAGATTAAATCGGCGCCTTTTAAACAATGTGATTAGCAAGGCTGGGCGATACAGCTGAAAAATGTACCACAATATAAGTACATTATGTCAGTCAATATTGAAAAAAAACTTTGTGTACATTCTAATATAATGTAATGTAATGTGCAAAGTTGCTGTCACGTGAGGAGCAGTATTTTGGAACGCAGAAGCAGACATGAGACATAAGAAGTAAAAGTCTTTGACTACGAAAATACAAAGTAAGTACAGAGAGTGGGGCTGGATGCAGAAGACGCGAAAGAGAGCTTTTACTCTGACTGCGAGAATGCTCGACATGCCACTGAGTAATTCGAGTGCAGTATATACACTGGAAGACATCAGGCCTATTTGATATAATAAAGGTAACATAATAAAGGCCCACAGCAAACTCCAAACAAACTGCACAGTATTTGCTACATTAATATAAGGAAGAACCAGTCACAAAAGGTACCAACAAAGATGAAATACAGCAAGCAACTTAACACAAATAAACTGAAGAGACAGCAAGGAATACAGTAATTCCGTATCCCTGCAAAAAGTGAAAACCCGTGAAGTAGGATTTGGCTGCCCCTTGGAATTTTTGTGTTTGCATGTGGATGTAATATTTGCAGTGAAATGTGAACCAGGATTTCACGGCTGTTCCAGAGACTGTTAGCACCCTCTGTTGGTGAAGGTCTGAGACTACAGACAGTTGAGTTGTCAGTCTGATCGTTGATGTTATTGCAAACAAGAAACATCACGGGTACAAGGATGCTTAAAATATGTAAACATGAGTTATACTTTGCATTTTTGAGACAAAGATTACAACAGTGCACGTATTTACTTAAATCTTTAATTATAAAACCTTATACAGTAATTAAGGGCTGCGATTGGCTGGCAACCGGCTCAGGGTGTCCCCCGCCTACTGCCCGAGGACGGCTGGGATAGGCTGCAGCACCCCCCGCGACCCTTGTGAGGATAAGTGGATTGGAAAATGGATGGATGTATGGATGGAGTAATTAATGGCCATTGACATAAGAGAGGCAAAGCGGCGTGTCTTGGTGGCGTAGAAGGCGGCTCTCACTTGACTCTTAGGCTGGACTCGCTGGAGGCACTGTAGCTGAGGTTTTTAAATTGGAGAAAAACATGGTGATAGGTAGCGCTAGGACATTCATCTTGTCTTCTTATTAGTTGAAATACGTTTAAGGTTTCTCTTTTTTCTTTAAGTGAAGAAAGAAACTTAGCGAGCTGACAGTTTCGGCTGTCAATTCAGCCTTTGCCTGAGTTGTGAGTTGTCAGGGTCATGGCTTTCTTGTAACATGTCTAAAAAAACAGCTGACTGGGTCGGGAAACCTTCAAAATTACCGTCGGCGGTATGAGCGCAGCTAAACGAATAAAAAAAAAAAAAAAAAAGTTGTCGCAAATACAACACTTAAGATACAATATGCGAGACAGTCAACAGACTGGCAATGATGTGCAGCCAATCAGCTCACGGGATGAATCCACTCGTGCTCTCATTGGTCGATGTCGCGCTGGGAACCACTCACGCACCTTTTTGAGTGGCCATGTACAAAGCCTATGAGGTATGTCAGGTCTTGCAGGGAAGCCTCTTTCGCGCATCAACATGAAACAATGTAGCTTTCTGCAATATGGGTGCTGATATGCCTTTTTTTTCATTAATGTTTGGAAAAAAAATGCAAACACTGATGCCGCAAAACGACGCACAAAGTGGCGAGGGATCACTGTACTTGGAAAAAGCACAAAGTGGAAGAGGGAGCTGATTGGGTAACACAAAGAATCAGGTGAACGAGTACAGGTGGGCACAATAACCTCACAAGACAGACACAAACAAACAAACAAAAAAAAAGGAAAACATGAAACTGAATTGAAAAACATGATGCTTGCACCCAGAAGCAACGCACAAGCAAACACTTTCCTAAACCAATCACGTGAGTCTCTCAGTCTCACACTGTCAAGCAACAGGCTCAAGCGTGGTGTGTGCTCACAAAAATCATCCAACTGTGTTGCAGTTGCACACAAAGGAAAGAAAAAAGAAGGCCAAGAAGAAACTAAAAAGTCAGTCAGCAGCAGGATGGTCACATTGGACGCACATGAAATGAGCTGGGCCAGTACATGCATGACAAGCACCTTTGATTCTTCAAGTAACAGATAGAGGTGTCAAGTAACAGGTGTCAAACTCTACTGGAACGTGTTGCTGCAGGAGAAAACAAAGGAAAAAAACATGACACAAAAGAGATGTGAGCAAAAGGAACTCAAAATGCCAAACAACCGCAACATGACGAAACAAAGAGTGATGTCACACAAAAGGAAATTTCACAAGAATCTAGCATTCTATGAAAATGTTAGGACTCTTCCATATGATGGCTGCAGAGGAAAGGTCGAACACATCGGCGTGGGAGTTGGGGAGGAGTAAAAAGTGATGCAATGTCAACGTTTGGACCTTCTTAAGACAAATGAGGACTCACACGGGGCAATTCTTGAGTTTTGTCAGCCCGAGCTGATTTTGTCACCAATGCAAGAAATGCAAATCATCACACTTGGGCTGACTCAGTCGCGTCCTCATCCACGTGGGCCAGTTATGCTTTTAACACGGTCAGCAGAAGACAATCAACGTTTATTTTCAGCAGAGGCTGTTGACACTGTCAGGACCAATTTTGATATGGACGATTGTTGAAGTCTGTTACTAAGGATTTAGATGATTCAAGTGAAGTAAGGACTATGCTCTCCTCAATTTGCAGTGTCCTTTTCAATATCGGAACAAACAAGTTGGAAAGACCATTTAGTAAGGATATAACAATATCCAAGCATCACAATACGATTATATCACGATATAAGCCTCATGATACGAGCTTTGTCATGATGTTGTGGGGTGGTTGGCGATATAAAAAAAAAAAAACAAACAAAAAAAAAACCCACAATAATTTCTAAAAAGTCACACTATTGTATTTTTAAAAAAGGCTCATGACATTAGAACAAAAAAAAGCACAATATTGTGTTTTTTACAGAAGAGCAGTGACAAAGAAATAAACTTGGTCAATGATTTTATTGTCATGTGTTCCTATTGGATCAGCAACACAAAGTATGATGGTCTATGGAGTTCACAGTGCTGTGTTTGGCTGACGCAAATTAAAAGTAATGTTTTTGACAGAGATAGACTGCTTTTAACATCGTAACATGACGACGACGATATGGCAATTTTAATATCGCCGTGATTGTTACACACCCTTTCAATTAGTAAGCTATGCTTCATAGTACCTGATTTGACATAAGGCTGCACTATTTGCTATTTTCTGAACCTGAGCCGTGATTGGTCGTTACCTGAGCCCTGAGCAACTGTGATGTCATTTTCAGTCGCCAGCAAGTGGCAAAATGGTCGCCCGCTGAGATGGACAAAAGTGGGTGGATTTTACTGCTTAACTCATATTCCACAAGGGCAATATTAATCAGAATGCTGTCTTTAGACTAGTGGGGCCTACCGAGAACATATTATTGTAAAAAAAAAAAAAAATTGGGGTTGACTTCCCCTTTAATATATAAAACATAATTTTAAAGGGTATCAATTGACCCTGATTCATTAAGTCACACAGCAATGTACAGCTGTGTCTCATCAGCGTAGTTGATGCTGTGTCTCCTGATGATGTCCCCAAGGGGAAGCATATCAAGATGAAAAAGTATTGGGCCTAAAATTAAACCTTGGGGACCCCCACATATAATTTCATGAGTTTTGCAGGAAGGTGTATCCTTACTAACAAACTGTGAGATTGGAATGAAACCAGTTGAAAGCAGCACCAGAGATGCCCTACCAGGTTTCTATTTAATAAAATGTGGTGATCTACTAAATCGAAAGCAGCACTTTAGATCCAGTGGCACCAAGACGGTGAGTCAGCAGTGCACCTGATACCATTTACAATCCTTAAAAAGAGCCATCTCTGTACTATGATTCATCCGAAAACCAGATTGATATTTCTCTAAAATAATATTTGCATTTATTGTAATTTAATTGGATGAAAAACCCTTTCTCTAAACTCTTATCGAAAAATGACAGATTGGATACGGGCTTGTAATTTTTGAAAACGCCGGGGTCCAAACTGCTCTTCTTCAGAACGGTCTTTATGACCACTGTTTTATAGGCATCGGGGAAGACACCCCTGTCAAAAGAGAGCAATTGCCTATATTTAAAGCTGGTTGCTCAAAGAACCCATCAAATGTCTACAGAAGTGATGTTGGAATTGGATCTAAAAGGCAGGTTGTTGGATTTACCTTGGAGAAAATTCGACCAAGTGTCCTTGCATATTTTTTTTACCGTGATGGGATTTGAAAAAAAAAAAATTGCAGGATTTTAGTTGTTCACATGTCATATTGAACGGTAAGTTTACTTTTCTCCACCTCGTCTCTGCACTCCTGCATTTTCTTTTTGACTTCTTGATCACATCTTTTCTCCATCTTTTCTCCCCAAAAAAACTATAAAAATAAAGACCACACCACTGTGGTTTTTATTTTTACAGTTTTTTTTTTAAATAGTTGAAGGAAAAATGTGAGCAAGAGTGCTCTTTAAAATACTCGATAGTATTTATCAATTGAACTTGATTAATATAACTCGTTTTTCACAGATAAGGAAGAATTTGGATTTTTTTTGTGTTCTCTTACCTGTGTGTATGTGTATCCACAGGGTTTGTGTGTGAATATCGCTAATTTGCCGTTACGATTATGCTGCGATACGGCATTGACTTGCTACCAATGTTTAAAAGACGAAAGAAAACAATAAATGAATACATCGATAAATCACTTGTGAGTCAAGGTCCCACTCGATCTAGAACTAAACCCCAGGCCAAAGTTGGACAAATTTGATTCATTCATTTCAATTAAAAGTTTATTTCATGATCAACACACTTCCAACATGCCATATGAATGGCTCATGCTATGTTTGTTTGTTTGTTTACGTGTTTATTTATCTTGTTATAGCAGACGAGGTGTGTCCACCTTACCGACAGCAAGCTCACGTTTGGTCAAGAAAGGCACCTTTTATGAGTCCCACAATGGGGCTTAAATCCATCAATGTGTTTATGCTACAACTGTATCGGCAAATAACCAATTACTTGTGTCCACATTGTTCTGATTTAGGATACGTTATTTCTTTTTTTCATGATACTGCCTCGATACATATATGAATTGCCACTTGTGTCATGTCGTGTAAAAGGAGCCTTTTTGATACGTAACTTTTTCACCCAGCAACATGCTATTGAAAAACGTACCTGGAAGCGGGCAGAGCTGTAGAGTCTTTTCAGAGAATCCCTAAACGTTAAGGTTGCAGGGTACTGCCCAGTGGCAGGACCCAGTTCATCACTGTCTACGTGCAATTCTTCATCCTCCCACTGGACAGGACGCTCATCTCCCACTGTGGTGAAATATCTCAAGTAACGAGCCATGACAGTCTCTCGGGGGGGACCAAGGCTAGACAGACGAAAGTGCAGGTAAAATGCATTTTAGACCTCATCTAGGCTCTCATGTGTTTTAATGACTCAGCGTTTCGTCATGTTAGACAATCTTAGTGTACTTCTCTTTTTTTCCTTTTACTTTTTTCTTTCTTTTTTTTTTAATCTTGCAACATGCTATTGAGAAAGCCATACACTAAACAATCTTTTAACCCCATAAAGCCAACCAGACACCAAATATCTGACCAATTTAAGGATGAAAGCAAGCAGGAGGGCATAATGTGATACCGATGCGAAAACAAATCAAATCGCCTTTTTACGCAGAGCAACAAGTTCGTGGTTGTTGCACCATTGCGAACTAGTCGACATTAGACTTTAAAAGATGCGCACAAGTTGAGAAACACGTATTGACTATTAGTCGGACAAGTAAGTCGAAACAAACGTTTAGTTGACGAAAAATGCTTTTATTTCTAGCATTGCGTCGAAATCGAAGGTTACATTAAATTAGCTTATGAAGCAGATGTCTGATTGTTTTTCACGTCTGTAGTTTTTCAGTCTCAGGGGTAGCCCAGCTACGAAAAAATAATCATGTAAGTATTCGTCGTTTATTTTTTGTGTTCGTGTTATTTGAAGAGGACTCTAGTTTTTTCCTCCGACATCGCTACATTCTTTCGTTAAATTATCTCTTTTGCGTAACTAACAATACGTTGTAGTTTCAGATGAAAGTTAAAACAAAAATCAATATTTTGCTCACCGTGTCCTCACCGCCGATGCATTCACGAAGTTGCACGACGCTCTGCGAAGAAAACACAATCCCTACAAATTTCAAACGGAAATCCGCCAGTCAGAAAGTCAGTCCTCACTGACAAAGTCGAACGTATCCGTATCCGCTTACTTCCAGTCCTTCCTCTCGACAAACCCTGAGCTATCCATATTCCGAAAACGAGATACAACCTTTGGGAAACTGAGCTGGCTGAGAAACGTAACTCGCGACACATGTTAATGATGTTTATTGACATCTGTTATATGTGAATAATGTGAATATATATATATGTGTGTGTGTGTGTGTGTGTGTGTATATATATATATATATATATATACATACATACACACACACACACACACACACACACAATCATTCAATAAATATTGATTTTAGGTGATTTTTTTTCAGCATAAGGACTTCTAATACAGATAGAATCTTACTCCCCCACCCCCCAGCACTGTCACAGACATTTGAGCACAAGCTTCCTTATTCCCTCAGCGTAAAAATCTTTGGACTGATGTCTCAGCCAGTCGCTCACAACTCTTTTGACTCCATTGTCACTTTCAAACTTGGTGCGAGCTACTGTGAACTGCTGAGACAGGTCAACAAAGACATAAAGAACAAACACAAGTCTTGCATCATGACAACGCAAGGCCTCACACAGCAGCCCAAACGGTGCAGACCATCATCAAGCTGGGCTTCCAGCCCACATTTTGCACCTTCAGACTTTCACCGGTTTGGTCCCTTAGAAGCGTTCACGAGAGGCGCAAAGTTTGAAAGTGACGATAAAGTCAAAAGTGTTGTGAGTGACTGGCTGAGACATCAGTCCAAAGATTTTTACGGCGAGGGAATATGGAAGCTTGTGCACAGATGGCAAAGTGTGTGAAGGTGCTGGCAGACTACATTGAAAAAAAAAAAACAAGTACGATTCCATCTGTACTAGAAGTACTTATACCGAAAACTTCACCTTATTTATTGAATGACCCTCATATATAGCCCGACTCACGTCATATAGTATTTAGAAAACTCAGAAATTTGGTTGTCCAAGGTCTTGAGGTGGTACAGGCCAAGTTTGAAGTCAATTGGATGAAACCTCTAGGACATGGACACAAAAGTATGACCCCGGTAAATGTGTAAAAATTGTCCACAATTAGTCATTAAAAAATTAATAACTCACTATTTGTTCATTTTAGCATATGACTGCGCTGGACATTTTTGTCTGTCTTGGAATACTACACGTGGCTGACAATTTTTGTAGCCCTAGTTCAAATGTACAAGGCATTAAATTTGTTTTTCCACTTAGGTGGCACTACAGAGACATTTTTATTTTTGTAATTATGCATAATGACTTTAAATTATCAAAATATTCACCAGGAGTTTTTTCAAACGTGACCCCTATGAAAAGCCGAAAATGGGGCCAAACGTGATGAGATTTTCTGCATATTTAGACTCTTAAAAGTAATGTTGTTTTCATGGTGAATAGCGCGTTACCATTGCAACAGCTTTTCACGAAATTTTTTTAAAATCGTGTTGCAACACCCTGAAGGCCAAACAATCTTGCGAGCAAATATGGAGGTAAAACTGGTTTGCCCCCTGGCAGAAAAAAACATTACAAAAAAAACATATTTCCTTTCGCCAATAGGTGGCGCAACTACAACAATAAAAATAAATTTGCAGATGTCATGTTCCGCTCTGTTTTGTTTTGTACTTTGTTTTGTTTCAGCACCAGCTGGAGTGTGGGGCGTTACCCTTCAGCGGTACACCTGGGCCCGATCAAGGCAATCTAGTGGTGGCCTACTTAGGACACTGACTTCTTGTCCCCCTTGACTATTGCTCTTGTTCACTGCTTTTGCCCAAGTGCCATTTTTGTACACCTCTCGTTCTTGTTCCGAGTCACTCTCCTCGTCATAGAATATTTTGGTCTGTACTTGCTAGTGATGGGTCCATGAGGCCTCATGAAGCGTTTTGACACACTGACACACTGTGTTGTAGTGATGGGTCCAGCAACACCGATGCGTCGACGCATGCGGCGAGCTCACAGAGCAATCCCCGCGTCGGTGCGCATACTGCTTCAGGACAATCACGTGATCAGTGCATGAACTGCGTTGACACAGTCCAGGGGGCATCGACGCCGCAAAAGCCCACCAAACTGCGTTTATAAGGAAGTGCGCCTGCTGATGCGATGCGGCTGCCGACGCGATCCAAACCTCACCCTTGCTTGTGGAAGTACATGCATATTATGTAGCAGGTCCCAGGGAAACGCAAATTGTCCGGCGAGTGGGACCATTTTGATCTCCTTTTGGAGAATAAGATTCAAATCTCCTTGTCTCACCAAGTGCCTCTCAGATTATTGACATGTCTTGTTCCATTCTAATTCAAATCCATTTCAAGGTAACTCTTAGTTTGCTATTCACATATTTTATTGCAGGTGAAATGTCGAATTTGCCATACCGAAATATCATATACCAACAAAAGCACCTCTGCCACTACATCTGGCATGTTACTAATCATGATTAGTTTGATTTTGGAAACTGTTCTAAATGCCAATTTTGTTGGGTTTTGTTTTTTAGATGGCCTGTGACAGCATCTGGATGATGAGGTGGGGAGACTGGGAAGAGGTGCAACAGCCAATGCTATATCTGAGGTCCAGCGATAGATACCTGACAGAGGGCAATATTGCACAGAATCAAGGCCCGCTGTTGTATTGGAAGGACCGAAACACTTCTTTTCCAAACCTTTCCCACCTCGCAAAGAAGTTCCACTGTACGCCGGCATCATCTGTGCCATGTGAGCGCGTGTTCTCCACAGCAGGGGAAATAGCATGCAAGAAACGCAACAGACTGAAATTCAAAACATTGTAGCATCTTCTTTTTCTAAATAAATATTTGTGAAGACAAAGCCCACAAGCATCCTCATTCACATAATTTTCACATTATTGAAACATATTGAATGATACAATATGAATGCATGGATGTGAATGATATTGTACACACTTTGTCATCAAATCAGTCAGTTGAGTCTGTCGAGTGGGTTGCCTGCAGGGATTGTGGAAGTCCAGCAGATGTCAGTGGTCAGTGACACAGTATCACCACAGTAGTGATGGGTCCATGAGGCGTCATGAAGCGTGTTGACACAATGACACACTGTGTCTTGAAGCAGTGCACGCACCGACGCGGGGATTGCTCTGTGAGCTCGGCGCGTGCGTCGACGTATCGGTGTTTCTGGACCCATCACTAGAACCTGCTAATTCATAATTTTTGTGTGATTGAACCCACCTCATTTCGTTGTGTATTTCTCAGTGATCATTCTGTCCTTGTAATTGGCAAGTGCTTTCTGTTCTCATTTGGTTTTCCTGGCTTTTTGTCGCCAGCGCCTTTCATTGACCACTTTGTCGGTCTCTCGCTTTTCTTTAAATAAACCTTTTATTGCCATTTACTTTATTCTGCGTTTGTGGGACCCACACTCCTTTGAGTCTGAGTCCAGACCTCCTGTCAGTAGAAGTCTTAAGGCCTAGACTCATTAAAATGTGTAAAATTTGAACAAGATATGTGGGTCAAATTACAGCAGTTTTTGTAGTCAACACAATGCCGAATTTTAAGGTACATTCAAAATGCCAGACTTTGTGTCAGGTTTAGCATATGATTCCAAGAGACTTTTTGTGTTGTTCTTGGGCTGTTAAATATGCCACCAGTTTTTTTGTAGCTCTCTACAACAGGGTCATCTTTGTGAAAAAATTATGGGAGGCGCTAGTAAGCTACATTTTTTTCATTGCACAAGAAAGAAAATATTGATGGGTTTCATGATTAAACCCTCAAAATCAGAGTTATTTAATTGAAGAATGGCACATTGCCACAGCAACTGCATTTCGCAAAAATTCTCAAAGTTCATGTTGCAACATCATCAAGGCCTAAAACTGGTTCTTAACCTGGGTTTGATCAAAACCCAGGGGTTCAGTGAAGCGGTCTCAGGGGTTCGACTGAGCCTCTGTCACGGAGGGTAAGACACACGTGAATCAATATGTCAATTAGTTATGACACACCTGCTTGGCCATCACTGGCTGCAGATGATCACATGACATTGCTTGTCTAATCAGTGCTGTGGGAAATTTAGTTCGCTTTGTAGTCAACGTGCGACTGTCGTGATAGTACGTCGTACAATTTTTAAAAAAAGTATACTTATCTCTTGAACATACATGGCAATTTTCCGCCGTTTTATTTCTTAAATTGATCATTTTTGTGAATCGTCTAAATCCGTTGAGAAAAATTTAGGGGCGGTCAGATACCTTATCGTCGAGTTTTCACGAGCTCTCCCGAACAGTCTCTCTGTTTTCCGTTTGTAAACAGCCCTGCGATTGTACGTGTATGAAAGCTTCAACTAATCAGATCATTGAAGGCATTATTTGTTGCGGGAGTCTTAGCTCGATTAGAAACATCCCAGCGATTGGTTAACTACAAGCGATTGGACCAATCAAATTGCATGTAACATATTGTTTTACCTGATTCATGG